ACTTGAGCCACAGTGCCACTTTCAGTTTTCTGATAGTTAATTGGAGATAAGAGTCCTACGGACTTTCCCACCTGGGCTGGCTTTGAACTAAGATCCTCAGATCTCAGCCTCCTGAGTAGCTAGGATTACAGGTGTGAACATCTGGCACCCAGCAATGAAGAGAACTTTTGATAGTTTAAGACCATTCTCATCTGCTAAAACTATTGGAGTCTTGGGAGAAGTTTCTTTGGGCAGATCAGTGGTGGAAAGGCATTTAAAATTATGAACTTGGCAGTTCTGCTTTCTTAGGGTAGCATTACTTTGGTGGCTTTAAATATCTTTAGCTATATTGGGAAAGTTGTGTGGCATTCTAGGAATATAGGTGTGAGAGGAAAATACTCATCTTTTTGCTTTAGTTTATACTGCAATTCAAATGACTCTGGTTCTGATTTTAGGTATATTACTCCATTTGTTGGCTTTTTTTTTATAGGTTTTATTATGGAACTGTATATTCAAATAATTTACAAGTATAAAATAATATTAGTTTTAGTATTTATACTTTTTAAATCAATGATGGAGTATTTCTGTATTTACTAAGAAGAAAAAGTGTCCAAGAAACTTCAGTTTTTAATGGAAATAAGGAAAAAAAACTAAATTATCCCAGTGAAAGATAGCAGATATTAATTAATTTGAGTAAGTACATCATTTATTTAGTATACTTTTGCTTGATACTCATCTGGCAGAGCATTTTGAAACTTACTGTAGTAGGCTACATTATTGTAACTTAAAACTTGGATGAAACCATGATGGTAGTTTCAGCACTCAGGAGGCTGAGGTGGGACAATATCTTGAGTTTAAGACCAGCCTGGGCAATAGAGGAAGATCTTGTCTGGAATAAAAAGTGACCACTTCTAAGTCATTGTAATTTTGCTGATGTTAACTCAAGACTAGATTTAAAAAAAAAATAGTAAGCAAAATGGCAGAAGGCATACAGTGTCTGATTTAAATGAAAAATGCTTTAGTGTGAAATAATGGAAGTCATTAACATAGGTACACTTAATAAAATAAAACATAGGTTGAGTACTGCAAATCTATTATTATCCTAAGACAAATAAGGCTAAATGATATAGTGTTCTTGAATCAAATCTGTTTCATGGGTGTCTATGGGAGTCTATTAATCATTGGAAGATCTTTTTTAAAAGCCCCTTTATTGTGGGATCCTGACAATAATTTTCATCACAGTGCCTTTAACACTTCAAGTTTTATTCTCAGAAGCCCTGTTGTTTATTTAGTTTTAGTTACCAACCAGAACATCTCATCCGGAAGATTAGTGTCTCCTGCCAAGTAATGCCTTTAACATTGTAAAAGCAGTCGGTGTGATTGAAATCCATTGCTTAACCTTCAGTGAAACTTGTGTTTATTTGAGCAAAGTTCAGTCAACAAAGGACAGAAAATAAGTTAGTCATAAATGAAAGAATTACAGGTATAAATAATAGATTAGGAAAATTCCCCCAAATAGAAGTATTTTAAGAATGCTTCTTCTCAGCTATACTTTTTTGTTGTTGTTTTACTATTATTGTTATTATTTTGCCAGTCCTAGGGCTTGAACTCAGGGCCTGGGCACTGTCTCTAAGCTTCTTTTGTTCTAGGCTAACACTCCATCAATTGAGCCACAAGCGCCACTTCTGGCTTCTTCTGCGTATGTGGTGCTTAGGAATCAAACCCAGGGCCTCATGCATGCGAGGCAAGCGCTCCACCACTGAGCCACCTTCTCAGCCCTTATTGTTGTTTTTAAAGCAAGGGCAGTGGTCTGTTTTATAACAGTTGTGGGTAACAGTATTAGAAATACAAGTTGTCACTCTTTCTTTAATGTGTTTTTGACTTGCTGAGGTTGATGTTGGTCTCTTGAGTATCCTTTGTCTAGGGCCCATATCTCTGGAGCTTTTTTCCCTCTTCAAATTATATGGTGATTACTTATAACTACCAATCCTGGAACTTCTCTTTGTTTTCATTTTCTGAACTTAAAGGTGAAGACCTACCTTAAATTTAAAAAGATTTCATTTTTAAGTTACTCATACGTTCTAAAAGTGATTAAATTATACAAGTGAGACTATGACAGGACAAATTTTTAAAGTTCTGTTACTAATATAAGAGGGACAGGACAAGTGTTTAAAGTTCTGTTACTAATATGAGAGGATGTATGTAGCTCAGTGATAGAGTGCTTATCTAGCATGTGTGAAAACCTACGCTCCATTCCTAGCACAAAAACAACCAGAAAGAGACATTACCAACATTAATATAGCAGAATAAGATGGCCCACTCCCCACAGACTTGCACAGATTTCTTTTCTGTGTTATTTTTTATATTTCATGACTTTGCCAGTACACTTTGTTGTCATCAGTCTGAGATAAAAAAGTAGATGTCAGAAAGTATAAAAAATGAATTATGCATTATTTTCTCAAGAACCTTGTTAGCTACCTGCCCCCCCTCTACCCTTAATATACTTTAATTAAAAAAATTGGGAAAATAAAATGTTGGGAGGTAACATTAGTACCAATGAATAGCAAGGTCTTGAATTAGAGTAAAGGCAATTTCAAGCCAACTAACTCCATATAACATGAAATATGTGGGAGGCTTGAACAAATGGAGGTCATACCACAAAGCTGTTGGAATTATCCTTTCTCATAGGAAACAGCTAAAGGGTTGTAGGGATAGGGGAAATAAGTGTATCTTCAAGGTTCCTCTCATGCTATGTTTATTTCATCTAGATCTTACAGTTCAGTTTTAAAGGAGGAAGTCAGTAGGAGTGCCTAGAATTATAGGCAAGAGTTACTGGCATCCAGCACAGAGAAATACTTTTCAATGACCACATAGAAAGAAAAATAGTAAAGTTTTTTTTGGCAAGTTTGTAGCCCATTGTGGCTGCAACCAAGTTTTTGCTTTGTGTAAGCATACAAAGCTTATAAGCTTTTACTGAAATCTTAATAAATCATGAATGTGTAAAATTAATTTTAACATCAACAACAAAATAAGATGAAAGCCTATTAAAGAAATAATCCTTTCACATGAATACAACTGTTCTTATGTTTTCTGTGCATATTTTTATAGTAAATGTGTTTTACAGAATTGTGTTAATGATTAATTCTTTTTTCAGCAAATACAATACAATCATTAGGTTTTTATTCTGCATACATAGGAGATTATGAGAGTAAACATCTCAGTATTTGTGTAGAGATTTTGCCAAATATTTTATAGGCCTAGATTAAATCCTTTTGAGTATTGCATTAGATATCATTTAGTGCATTAGATATCTTTTAGCAGTGTGTTTGTGAATCTGGTTTTATTTTGTGACTAAATTTAACTGGAATAAGTTTTGAGAAGATAATCTGTTTTGTTTGTTCCTATGTTTTGGATATATTATGATTGAGATTAGAAATTATGCAGTTAAGCAGATCTTTTTGATGTTGGTTTGCTTTTGACCCTTTTATTTAACCAATTAATTAATTTTTTGTTGGTCGTGGGGCCTGAACTCTGGGCTTGAGCACTGTCCCTCAGCTCTTTAGCTCAAGGCTAGCGCTCTACCACTTGAGCCACAACACCACTTCTGGCTTTTTTCTGCTTATGTGGTGCTGAGGAATCAAATCCAAGGCCTCATACATGCAAGGCAAGCATTCTACCACTGAGCTACCTTCCCAGTCCCTTTAGGCCCTTTTATAGAGAATGAAAAAATGTTGCTGAGTGATCTGTTTATGAAGACACTATCAGTAGAACTTGAAGTTCTTTTATAATTTCAAGATAATCTAAGATGGGACTGAATGTTTCAATTATGTCTTTGAACCTTTTCCAGTTTTTTTTCCCTGTATGACCTTGGGTGAGACATCTGAATAACAGAAAGTAGGAATAAAAATACTTGATGCTGATTACAATTATGATGATGAATTAATTCATATCTATGGGTAGAGGGAGGCATTTAGAAGTCCTGGGCTCTTTAGAAGAACTTTTTCAGTGTGGCCTTAATTGTCAAAAGATCCGCCCCCCTTTTTTTTTTGGTTGGTTGTGGGGCTTGAACTCTGGGCCTGGGGGCTATCCCTCAGCTCTTCAGATCAAGGCGGGTGCTCTACCACCTGAGCCACAGCACCACTTCCAGTTTTCTGAGTGGTTTATTGGAGATAAGTGTCTCATGTACTTTCCTGCCTGGGCTGGCTTTGAACTGCAATCCTCAGATCTCAGTCTCCTGAGTAGCTAGGATCTATAATTAGTGGCGTTAGCCACCAATGCCCGGCTAAAAGATCCTCATTTTTTTAGGAACAATTGTCGGTGAAGGAGACTGAAATTTCGAAGCTAATTGCTTAGTATAATTGTGGGTTACAGGAGGCTTCCCAGCAGAGGACATAATTTTGTGAAACCGAGAGTCCCAGTCCAGGACTAGGTGTACTGACTTACTCAGGACTTTAAAAACAATAATACTTAGTCCTTATGTTCAGTTGGGTTTCTCCTAACTTGGGACAAATCTTCAGTCAGTAGCCTCCAGATTGCTTGTCTTGTATCAATTCTGGATCAAATACATGTTTCAACAATAATTTGTGTGTATATGCATGTGGATCCAGGCAGGGTAGGTGCAGGCAGGGTAGTTCAGAAAATATGGGTTAATTTTACTTAAGTTGAGGCCTGAGTGGAAGAGGAAAGTGGTCATGGAAGGCTTACCTAGCACAAAGTATTGTGAATCTAGTCAAGCAAATTCAGACTCAGTATTGATGGTGTAAGTCACACCACACCCCGTAATTGTCCACTTTGAGAATGCTTTTATTGTTATATTCATTGAAAGGGGATAACTTTTAAAACTAGGGTTGGTTATAAAATTGCTGTTTTTATTTTTTCAATAAGTGGGAGTTAAATAAACTATTTGAGGAAATAGTGGGGAAATATGTTCACCTACTTTAAGCTGGTTAGGCACTCCTAAATCAATGAAAGTCATTGTTTTGTTAATTTCATCAACATGTTCATTTCTTTCAGCTCCATGTTCATGCATGTCTTTTAATCCGGAAACAAGAAGACTGTCCATAGGTCTAGACAATGGTACAATCTCAGTAAGTACACATAAATAAGATTTCCAGTTGAAATACTTCCTTCCTGTGAAGTATATATATATATGCTTTGTGATCAGATTTAATTTTTAATTTTTCAAATGAACAGAATCATTTTCTTGCTACGTAGAAGTTTCAGTGCAGCAGGGAAGAGATTCTGTTTAGGGAAAGCTGTCATCAGCCTACTTATACACTAACATGGCTCAGATGACCTTTCACTAAGACAGGGACGAGGCTAGGGGTATTGGGAAGTAAATTCTCAGACTGCATGAATCTGCATTAATGAGTGAGAATTGTGATCTTGAACTTGCTGCTCTGTGGTACTGAACTTGGACCAGATGATTAATCACCTTGTAAATTTCCCTACAGTGACAAAACACAGGGGAAATGCTTTCTCTTCCATCTGCATGTCTGATCTTGTCTTTTATACTCTGTTCTCCTCCTTCTGCTTCTTGTTGTCTTTTCAGTTCCCCCAGCATGTGAACAGAATTCTATAAATTTGTCTGAAGTTACAAAACAAACACAGACTCTAGATTTTTGTCTGTAGGATAGAGCCAGATAAATAATAGACCCTTTGATGATAGATATTTGAGGAAGCTGAAGTGCTTAGATATCAAAATTCTTAATCATACTGAATTTTAACTAAAAGTATGTTAACTAGTAACAGGTCTGATCTGGTCAGTTATCTACTGTTATATTTAATATTTGTGGCTAGTGAATTAAAACACTCTTCTCTTAAAAGTTGGGAAGTATGCTCCATCTATAATCTCACCTTTTGGGGAGACTGAGACTGGAGAAGCACAAGTTCAAAGCCAGCCTGGGCAATCTAGTGAGACTTTTCAAAACTAAACAAACAAGAAAGATTTTAAAAGAAAATGAAGAAAGTCCTATTCTGTCCATACTTGCCCACAGGATGGCAACGAAGGATTTAAGGATCCAAGGAAACTTTCTAAGGCCTCACTCAGTCTCCAATCTGATTCTATGGGTACTGAGTCTGGGAATTTCCTGCCCCTGAACAGAGCCTCCTTTCAGATCCTGCCCAGTCCTTCTCCTGAATCTGCTCCTTAAGAGAATAAAACCAGTGAACATTTTTTTAGACCTCAGAGGTGCCTAAATGGTGGGAACTTGAGGTGGATAGGATGTCCACACAGGTGTGCAGGGTCCCTCAAGGTATCAGTAGTTTGGAGAAAGGAAGAGAAGGAATTGGGCTGGCCCTGTGTTATTATGCTGTGATGTAGAACTTCATGGAATCCAAGAACCTATAGTTCCAAGTTGCTAAAAGTGTATTTGTTAATATTGGAATTTAAAGCTATGTTTTGTTTAATAGTCTAACTTGACTTATAATTTTTAAATATTTAGACAAATAGAATGTGGACCTTCCTTCCAAATATTGGAGGTAGACCTGATGTTTTTATATTTCTTACTAAAACATTTGTCTAATTTTTATGGAGATATTAACAATATTGTTATTGACAATTATGACATTTCTGATATGTCTAATGCATTTAGTAGATCTGTAAGCTCATTCTTAGGACAGAAATTTATTATATGATTTTTGTCTACTTTAAAGAAAGCCATTTTGAAAAGGGAATGTGTGCATCTGAGTGTGAGTGTGTATGTGTATAGAATAAACTTAGTTTTAGAAAATAAAAGGAGATAATTGGGTTGTTCAGTGAACTGAACTGTTTATTAAGGAAACAAAAAAGATGATCTGAGATCACATATTGTCCAGCAGTTCATAGACTCATGTACATAACATTCACTTTCCCTAGGAAGACTTATGTGTATTTACATCTTTTTTTTTTGCACTTTTGAAATCAGTATGGGTGGATAATGGGTGCTGATCAATTTTTCCTTAATTGCAAGAAAGGTATGTAAAGTAAGTTACAGAGAATTCTAGCTATTTATTGTATAGAAGAACCTTAGCCCTTATTCCTTTGAAATGAAAACTGCCAGGAATTAGAGGATCCATCAGGAACAGGAACCCTGTCACTTTTCTCATTATGTTAGTATAGTGTTGAGATGCTGACTGTACCTTACTTTAATCCTCTGAAAAGTATTGAGAACTGTGGCTTACATGAAATAATTTTCTCAAAAGTACCTCTTTATCTTGCTGAGGAAGATGAATTCATATTCTACCTATTCTCATTTGAAGAATTATAAAAGCTCTAAGTTAGGGAAAGATATATTGAGAGAACAGCATATTTAAATTTCAAGAGTCTCATTAAGTAAGTAGAGTTCTGACTATTTAATAGTTTACTTTCTAGAGATGAAAAATATCATTTCCTGAATATAGCAAATTTTGAAAAGAAATAATGGTTAAATATTGTAAAACAATGAAGTAAAAAAGTAAATCCCTATTTCACTTTATTTTATTGAACAAAAATATATTGTAGAGCATCTGAAAGACAAACTTATGTTACTGAATAATGAATTGGACATGGATTAGAGATAACACATATTGACCATTCTTTCTTTAAAAATTGGCCACAAGGGAAGGAAAAAATTATGTTATAACAAGAATGAACAAGAGATAAGAATTGAACTGGGAAGGAAAAGGAGCACTTTTGAGGCAGAAGAAAAAGTGAGACAAAACATCCTTACATTTTGAGATGTAGGAGAGGAATGCTTTTACCTTTTTTTAACATGAAGTAGCAGGTGAGATCACCTACTGAGAGAAGCAAAAAATGGTAAGACTCTTTTTTTCATACCTATCTTTTTTTGGCCTTTCTGTTCGTATAGCCTGGAATACCCCTCTCCTGTCTTGTTCTGTAAAGTTCTAATTATCTTTCAAAGATTTGCTCAAATGTTATATTTTTTCTTTTTTCTTTTACTTTTAGCAGATATCATCTGTATCCTCAAATCACATAAAATGCTCAGTTGGTTAGCTGTATTATATAGCTTATTTAACCTCTATTTTGTAAAATAGTTTAAAATCTGTCTCTGATATGAAAGTGTTGAGAGTTAAGGATTTGACTGGGGCTGGGAAGGTGGCTCAGTAGTAGAGCGCTTGCCTTGCATGCCTGAGGCCCTGGGTTCGATTCCTCAGCACCACATAAGAAAAAAGAAAAAAAAAAGCCGGAAGTGACACTGTGGCTCAAGTGGTAGAGCTCTAGCCTTGAGCTGAAGAGCTGAGGGACAGCACCCAGGCCCAGAGTTAAGGCCCCACAACTGGACCCCCCCCCAAAAAAAGGATTTGACCATTCTTTTTATTCATCCCTTAACCCAGCAGATCTTCATGTGATTTTTTTTAATATAAATGATGGACTCAATGAATAATCTGTTAAATGCTTATTGTCTAAAGAACTAGCACTATTATTTAATTAAGTTGTTGTAACAAGCACTTGCTTAAGTTCAGAGATGTCTTACTGAAATTCTATTACTATTCAGAATGTTTTTCAGCTAGGAATGCCTTCTATGGAGGAAAAATTATGCTAATATTTTAATTCACCTTGGGTTTTCAGAAAAATTTTCCATTTCATTATTGAAAAAAAGACAGTCAGGTATGTTAACTGATATGAATGCTCAAGTAGGACTGTAAAGTTTTCAATTGATAATGCCTCACATTATCCTAGCCAACCAACGAATTCCTAAATGTCAATTGTATGCAAAAGATTATGGTAAGTTCCAACAAAATGTGGCTGTTGAGTGGATGGTACAGTTGAGAAGACAATGAAAAAATGAAGGATGAAATAAGTAGCAAAGTAAACAATAACCATAGCAATCACTAATAATATGTGTGATGATAGCCAAGCAATGAGGTGATGATTGAGGATAGGTCTGTGCATATTAGACATGAGATGTACTTTTGATTAGCTAAAGGCAAGAAGGGAAAGTGTAAGATATTTCAGGCAAATTGATGGTATGAGAGGAAAAGCATGTCAGTCTTGAAAGGGAAAGATATATTTGGAGAAAAATCAATGAGTTTGGTATTGGGGGATTGTGCAATCCTTGACTGAGGATGAATAATCAGTATTCTAAGGAGCTGGGTTCCTAATATGGGGGAACCCCTACTGTATCCAAAAACTTTCTACTGTATTTAGATTTTTCACTAATTTTGTTAAAAAAATTAGCTGCCAGGTAGTCATAGGGATGTATATATATTCATTTTTATGATTTTATACACACATACACACACACACACACACACATTAGAACTGTTACATAGCCAGAATTTTTATTGACATCCTGCCAAGATAAATTTAAGTCTTTCCTAGCCATTGTGCATAGGGATACACATTTTGGTGATAAACTGCCAGTAAACTCAGGGATATGATAATTATGTCAAGATAATGTTTACTTGTGGAAGAGGAATGAGGATAATTGAGATCAGGAACATAGAGTGGTTTTGGGATAACTGGTAGGGTCCAGTTTTTCAACTTGGATGATGATTACAAGTGTGTTTAATTTATAAGAATTCATTGCACTGTAAGTTTATGTGTTTTATTTTACAATAAAAAGTAAACTCTCACTTAAAAAATAATTTAAGTCTTTGAAGAGTTTGGGAATAAGTCCTTAAAATAATAAAATCCCTCTGCTAAGTGTATTCATATATATATATATATATATATGTATATATATATATGAATTAGGTGAAGTTTGGGATTAGTTAAAGGATTGATTTATAATGGTTATTACTGTATAAATCAACTGCTATTGATCTGTATGCTGTTTTGGTTCTTCTGATTTTCTTGTTCTGATTCTTCTGATTTCTATACGCTTGTTGTATATATTATCAGTATACAAACAAATATTATATAAGGGAATGAAAAAAGAATGGGAACTAATCATTCACTGAATATGGTCTGTGTATCGGGCGACATGTTTTACTTCATTCTTTATTTTGTCGAAGTCATAGGAAAGTCCATGAGACTCACCTCCCATTAGCCACCTAAAACCAGGAAATGGAGCTGTGGCTCAAAATGGTAGAGCACTAGCCTTGAACAAAAAATATCCCTGAATTCAAGCCCCATGACTGGGAAAAATAAATATATAAATAAAAG